TCAGAAATGTGGCAAATCCCATGTGTTTTTGGACCCTGACCCCGCGGATCTGCGTGAGGGGTGTCGATTTTGAGCCCCCCCAGCAATTCAGACAACGCGCCCAGGTGGTGCTAAAAATCTGGTTTGGGCCTCCCTCCCCTCGCGCGGTCAATCAACTAGTTACAGTAACCAGCAAGAAGCAGAACTGTAACACTGGAAACTACAAACTACAACTGGTACAGGAAACTGCGAATCACGCGCCTCGCAGCCTGGTGGCCCCACAAGGGGGCCGGCGGATTTGTTTGACTGTTTTTTATCTTTCGTCCAACATCCCCCGGTAGGGGGACATGCCCGACCTAACGCTACATACGGTCCGACCGAGGCAGAAAGATCGAGGTCGGGTTCGAAGAGGAGGTATCCCCAGTATTATCCGCGCTAGTTGCATGGTCTTGTGCATCCTGGGGCGTTTTGGCCAGCGGAGGCTCTCACCTTCTTGGAGGATGTGCTTCTGTCCTAGGTCCTGCCGTGTGTGTAGTGCATGCGATGTTGTTTCGGCATCACGTGTTGAGAGGCATGTCTGCCTAGATTGCATAAAAAGGAGGTTCTGGAGCCTTTCCCTCCTTGGCCAGGTCGCTCCTCCTCCTCCTCCTCCTCCTCCTCCTCCTCCTCTTACTTGGTCTCCTCATCCTTCTCCTCTTCTTCTACCTCGTCCTCTTCCTCTTCTTCCTCATCTGCCTCCTCCTCCTCTTCCCTCGCAGCCTTTTGGCGCTGGCGGCCCCGCACGCTGGCCCGCTTCCGGCGACGTGGGGGGCGCAGGCTGCGCGGCAACGCCGGGCCTGGATGTTCGTGCCATGTTCTGTTCAGTGTGTACGGTAGGTTCATGCGGCGATGGCGCGCCAGCGACGCCAGCGAAGGCGTTCAATGTTACATTCTGCGACGCGGACGCGTCAGAGCCACTAAACCCGACGGAATTCAATCTTGAACGATCGGGGCCGCGATCGATTCAAGGTTGAACGATCAAAGCGGTGTCACAAACCTTTGCGTGCGACGACTTCGCGCGAACCTACCGTACCTGTTGGCTAAGTATCCAGTGGACTTCGGCCAATCCCACCACCGTGCCTGGGTTATGGGTATGAAGACTATTGGGTGTTCGGTGGGATCTCGTGGGAGGCCTCTCGGGTGTCTCTCAGAGGCAATTGGGCTTCTTTTGGGGCCGTCTTGGAGCCTCTTGGGCTGCCTTGGGGCGGTCTTGGGGGTATCTAGGGCCGTCTGGGAGCGTCGGAAAGCCGAAAAGACGAGAACGCCAAAATCCTTCAACCAACTACGGAACATCAATGGTTTGTGCCCCTTGCGACCCTCTCGGGAGGTCTCTTGGAGGCCTCTTGGGCCGTCTGGGAGGCCTGTGGGGCCATCTTGAGGCCATCTTGGCCGTCTTGGGCGGATCTTTGGGCGTCGCGGAGCCCCCTTGGGTCGTCTTGCAGGCACCACCGATGTTTACCCGTCTCGACTGCCGGGTGTAAAGACGTCCAGCCTGGAAAGGCTGTTCCGCGGCCAGGGCGGCGGAGCTCGGTTGCTCACGCGCACCGCGTAGAACAGAGTGCGCTGCCTGCGTAAACGCCGGCGCGTCGGCGTCCAGCAGGCGCGACATTCTGCTTGGGCCCTCTTGGGGCCCTCCCCCCGGGCCCGCAGAATGCACGCGCCACCAGGTGGCAACATGCCCAAGGGGGGCACGCGGGAGGCCCCACAGGGGGGGGGGGGGGGCACGCGGGGAGCCCCCCGGGGGAGAGTTGAGCATTCGGGGCCCGGGCCCCCGAAAGACACCTCGGGAGGGAGGATCGAGGCTTAGAGGATCAGGCCAAGGACCTGATGACACGCCCACTGCGTGCCCAGAGGCACTGCGTGCCCAGAGGCACGGTGGAGTTGAGAATTTGGGGTCCGAGCCCCGGAAAGACACCTGGCATCGCTCGGACGCGTGCGTTTTTGTCCTCGGCGAGGACCCTCGAGGAGCATCCTTGTTCGTTTGGCGAAGAAGCCACGCACGAGACCGAAACGAAAACACAGGGAATGGACGTCCGAGCGGTGGCGGGGACACCTCGGGAGGGAGGATCGAGGCTTATAGAGGATTAGGCAAAGGACCTGATGGCACGCCCACTGCGTGCCCAGAGGCACGGTGGCTTCCCAGAAAGACACTTGGCATCGCTCGGACGTGTGCGTTTTTTCCTCGGCGAGGACCATCGAGGAGCATCCTTGCTCATGTGGCGAAGAAGCCACGCACGAGACCGAACAAAAACACAGGGAATGGACGTCCGAGCGATGGCGAGGACACCTCGGGAGTGAGGATCGGGGCTTAGAGGATTAGGCCAAGGACCTGATGGCACGCCCACTGCGTGCCCAGAGAGGCACGGTGGCTTCCCAGATGTTAGCCTATTGTAGGCGTTTTCCTATTTCAGGTGTCGAGCGGTTTCCCATCTCACCTCCTCTTCAGGAGGCGGGCGGAACCCCAATCTACTTTGAATGCCTTCCTACGTCATGTGTCTGCATTGTTATTCCGCCCGACGTGTAGGCGTATGTATATATAACGTAGACAGGTGCACCCCTGATACCTGTATAGGGGCATTGGAATCCAGATACATGTATACGTAATTATCTGGCCGTCGTCGTGCTAGTCCAGTGTTGCGAATGCGCCCGTCCTGGGGGTCTGTTGGGCCGTTGTGAGGCCGTCTGGGAGGCCGGTTGGATCATGTTTATAACCTCTTGGGCCGTCTCGGGCCTCTCGGGGCTGTCTTGGGGGTCTCTGGGGGCGGTCTCGAGGCCTCACTGGGCCGTGCTGTGGCTGTCTGGAGCCAGCACCTCGAAGGGCATGCGCGGGGCGTCGTGGGGGCCCTCCCGGGCCGCTCTTTGAGGCCCTCCCGTGGCCCCTCCCGTGGCCTCGGGGAAGGGCGCCTTCTGACCAAGACTGGGGCGAGCCTGTGGGCGGCTCGGGCCGTCGCGGAGGCTCGGGAGAGCGAGCAGGCGAGCGTGTCAGACTCGCACAGCACCTCCAGGAAGATCACTCCAGAAGGCGAAGGCCCACCCCCACCCCCAGTCCCGACGCCCATCCCCGAGCCGGCGATCCAAGGGGTCGGGACTTTGGGTGGGGGCGGGCTTTCTCCATTCCTGGGACCGACAAACCACCCCCACCCCCAGTCTCGACCCCCTGGATCGCGGGTTCGGGGAGGGGGTCGGGACTTGGGGGGTGGGGGTGGGGGGTTCGCTGTCTCATTACTTATTGACCGACTTTGCTTCTTCGAGGTCTCCTAGAGGGTCTTCTTCGGTCCTCCCAGCGGAGCGTCGCCTCTGTCCCGTCTCGGCCGCCCTGCGGGGTCTCTTCGGGGCCTCTTTTGGGGCCTCCTCGTGGGTCGCCCTGGGTCCTCCCAGGCGCCCCGAAGGAGCTTCCTTGGAGTTGTGTCGGGACAGTGTCATGGCATCGCTCAGACGTGTGCATTTTTTCCTCGGCGAGGACCATCGAGGACCTGCCTGGACCATCGAGCCAAAAACAAACACGCACGCAACCGAAAAATGCACAGGAAATGGACGTCCGAGCGATGGCGAGCCTCGCCTTCGACGCGTTTCGCCTCTGCGGACAGGCCGGCGGAAGGCGGCGAGAGGGACATCGCGGCGGGCCCGCCGGCGGAGGCCGGCGCAGGATCGGCGGGAGGCGGCGGAAGTGGAAGGGGGGCGCCAGCATGCCGGGGCGCAGGAGTTCCAGCCTCGGGCGCGCCTCCTCTCTATACACATTTGCACCGCGCGCCCGCTCCACACTGCAGGGTTTGGTCCCTGCGGGCGCTGGCCAGAACGTCGGGCCGATACCCACCAGGTGGTGGGTGCTGCGGCCGGCGTTCTGGGGGGGGGCGCGCCGCTTCTGGCCGGACCTGCATGCCGCCCAGACCTGCGCCCCGGAGGGGCCAGACACCCTCTCGTTCCCCGCATGTCGTGGCGCCAACATCGCAGAGCGGATTTCGTTCGGCAGACGATAGGGTGGGCCCGGATTGTCCTGGAGAATTTCGTTCCGGATTTCGATGTAATTTCGTGCGGATTTTTTGGTTTGGCCAGGAATGGAGACCAAAGGCAATCCACGCGAAATTCACTTCGTTTTTCGCTCGCCGCTTCGGGCAAACATCCACGCAGAAATCCACGCAGGAATCCGCTGCAGCACGTCTGCAAGGCCGGTGCAATGACGCATGGGTCCCCCTCTGCCTCCCCGCCGAATGCCGCCGACGCCGCACAGTTCTCTTCGTGCGTGTCTCCGGGGACGCGCCGTCGAGGATCGCGCGCGGAGCGTTGTGAATGCAGGCGGGCGGGAGCGCGTCTGCATCGAACGCTCCGCGGGAGCCTTGGGGGCACGGCGCAACACTGGTGGACAGTGACAGAGCTTATGATGTTCCGACCTGCTTTAGCCTTGATCCCCGGCAAGAGCTTCGAGCACCAGGGCGCGGACCTCGCCTCTGGGCCTTCGGCGGAAGCCAGCGGAAGCACGGCGGAAGGCGGCGGAGGGCGGAGGAAGCAGCACGGCGGCGGGCCCGCCGGCGGAGGGCCGGCGGAAGGCGGCCGGAGGCGAGGGCGGGACGCCCGGCATCCGTCGCCTCGGGGCCTCCAGGGCCAGCCCGTTCGGCGTGTATAGCCAGCTCGCCCCCCCCCCCAAAACCAGCGCTGAATATTCCACAGTCTTCCGATTTCTCTTGAGATTTTGCAGATGCGTTCTTTATCTTCAACGGAGGCAGCCCGAGCATTGCTTCAATGTCAATTGTCATTCTCGGTTTTGCCTTTGCCCTTTTCTGCTTTCCACCAGGCTTCGAATGAGCATGCCCTTCTGGTACCCCCCCGTGCCCGTCGGCGTGCAGCCAGCGCCCCCCCCCCCCAAAGCCCTCCCACGAGCCCTCTCCGCGCGGCGCTTTGCCGCCGCCGGCGGCCGCCTGCCGCGCGGGAGGCGCCCGGGGAGGCCGCGCGTCGGGGCTGAGCGCGGCCGCGGGGGCTGAGGGCGGCGCGCGGCGCGGCCGCGGGGCGGCCCCGCCCCCGAGGCCTCGGCGCCGGCCGTCGCCGAGGGCCTCGGCGGAGGGGCGCAGCGCGCGCAGCGGCCATGCAGCACCGGGGGGCTCCAAGGGGGCGGCGGCGGTGCGTCGGAGGGAGAGGGGGGGTGGAGCGCTCCTCCTCCTCCTCTTCCTCCTCCTCCTCCTCCTCCTCCTCCTCCTGAGTATCCTCCTATCCCCTTCCGTATCCTCCGTATCCTCTTCTCATCCTCCTCCTCCTTATTGTCCTCCTCCTTCTCCTCCTCCTCCTCCTCCTCCTCCTCCTCCTTCTCCTCTCTGTCCTCGATGCTCGATCCTCGGCCCTCGATCCTCGAGGCGGGGTGCCCCCAGACGACCGCGAGCCCCTCCCCCCGTGGGGCCCCCCAGCGGCAGGCCCAGGGCGTGGTCCCGACCCGGCAGTCGGTCCAGAGGCTCACCGACTCGTCCAGGCACGGGCTTGGGCAGTGCCAAGGGTCCAGCAGTGGCGAAGCGTCCTGGCTCGCCTATAGGCCCACCAGAGACTGTTCTGAGAACCTGTTGTGGTCTGCGCGAACTGTTCTCATGACACTTCTGGCTGGGACTGTCTTGTTTCAACACGTCGGGTTCAGGTTGTAAGATCCGAGCTTTCGTTCTCAGAACATTTCTGTGTCTAAGGCAAGTTCGTGGTAGGCCTATAGGAATGCCGGGATGGTCGGTCCCCGCTCAAGGCAGTGCCAAGGGGGGTGTCCTCCACTTCGGGCGTCCCCACCTCCTCACATGTGGGCGCCGGCCGACACGCCAACCGAGCGGACTCGCACAGGGGACGCCGGTTGTCGGCGCCCCGGGGGAGCGTGCCGATGTTTTTTGGCCGGGCCTGGGGCCCCAGAGGAGGCCCCAAACCCCAGCTGGCCTGCGCTGCCCCGCGGCGCCCGCTCTGACGCGCAGCGCGTACCGAGTTTCAAAACAACGTCCGTGTCAGCACGCCGCGTGTCGGCTCCACTGGAGGGTTTCTCCGGAGGGCTTAGGCGACCCCCCCTCCTCCTCCTCCTCCTCCTCCTCCTCCTCCTCCTCCTCCTCCTCCTCCTCCTCCTCCTCCTCCTCCTCCTCCTCCTCCCCCTCCCTCCTCCTCCTCCTCCTCCACCTCCTCCTCCTCCCCCTCCCCCATCTCCTCCTCCTCCTCCACCTCCTCCTCCTCCTCCCCCTCCCCCATCTCCTCCTCCTCCTTCTCCTCCTCCTCCTCCTCCTTCTTCTCGGGTCGCCTACAGCCCCGGGGGAAACCGTGCAGGCTCCACGTGTTGACCCACGCTTTGGCGAGCGCATCGTGCCAAACGTGCGCTGTCAGTCTGCGCGTTGAGCGCCGCGTCGGCACGCTACGGGCTGCGTGTTGCGTATCGGGGCAGCCAAGGCGCTGGCGTCGCGCACCCCGGGCCCGCGCGCAAGAAGCGTCCTGCCCGGGGATCCGTGGCTCTACCGGGTATGGTGGCTCCCGGCGTGCCGCAGACGGGCCTCGGCGGCTTGGCACCGGAGTTTCAAAGATGAGGCCCTGAGGGATGGGGTCCTAAGGACGAGGTGCTCCAAATGATGTACATCCAGCCTTGGATCCCTTCCTATCCTCAGGACCCCATCCCTCCGGACCCCATCGATCATTGACCGTCGCGGCTCTTGGCCGTCGCGGCTCTTGGGCATCGCGGCCACCGGCCGTCGCGGTTCTTGGGAACCGAGGGTCGAGAAGGAGGAGGAGGATCAGGAGGAGGTGGTTCTTAGGCCTTCCAGATGTCGGTAACGAAAGGAGAACGCACACGCACATGAATCCACGCCGGTTTCGAGAGAACGCAGTGCACGAGCGTTCGTATCACGCGGCTGGTCTCGCGGATTGGGGGGCCGTGTTCATGTACGTTGTTGGGCGCGTACGTCCTTGGTGGGCTCCCTAAGATGGGAACAGTAGATGAATGAGGATGCAGCTCCTGGGAGATTCATTCAGAATCGGCGCCGGTACATCCCTGGTCGACGACTGGCCTACTCTGGCGCGATCCCGCTTGATCTGGCGCAATCCTGGAGAATTGGGCTGAATCCTGCTCGATCTGGCTTAGTCCTGGGCTGCATGTGGCCTAATCGGTTTCAAGTTGCTCCGCAATCGGGCTTAATGGCTTTTCATATCTCTGATGAAGAGCTCCCCAGGGTTACCTCATATGGGGTCGAAGGATCGCACCGCATCGCCGATGCGTCTCAATGTGGAGTCTGATTCGCTCCTCGTCGATGTCGCCAATGCATCGTCGATGCGGCGCGATCCTTCGTCCCCACTTACAGTCGAAATTGATTTGTAGGTCGACTCTGCAAATTCAAGGGTACCCCTGTGTCCTGTGCTCCGCGACCCATGCACGTCCTGTGGCAATGCTGCCCTGGAAAGGGTCCTTGTGTCCTCTCGCGTGTCCTGTCCTATCAAGCTGGACTGTACTCGCATCCCATTTTGGGAGGCCTCTGTACGAGGATCGAATCTGGTTTTGACGCTTCGAGGCGTTATTGGGTGTGCGGGGGGGTTCTGCGGGGGGGCCCATCTCGACGGGGTCTTGTGCCCTCTCGCGTGTCCTGTCCCATCCAGCTGGACTGTACTCGTATCCCATGTGTTTGACGCTCCAAGGCGTCGTTGGGTCGAGGGAGGGGAGGGAGGGGAGGGAGGGGAGGGAGAGGGGGGACGGGAGGGGGCGGAGGGGGGTGGGAGGGAGGGGAGGGAGGGAGGGGGAGGGAGGGGAGGGGGGGATGCAAGCTAGGTGCGCTCGCGTCATACCTGACATCCTACCCCTCCCTCCCATTCCTTACCATGGCGCAGATCCCCTCTCTACTCGCTCAGTCGGATGTCGAGCAGGGCAATGATCCCGAAAGGGTACGCGATGCATTGTAGAGCACGGCATGGCATGGCGTAGAAGAGCACCGCAAAGCGTAGTATCAACCTAGCATTGCATTGCATGCCGTGGCATGGCACGGGAAATGACGCCAGCGCTGCAGCGGGAGCACGAGTCGAAACGAGCGGAAGCGCGGAAATGAGGCCAGCGCTGCAGCGGGAGCACGATTCGGAACGAGCGGAAGCACGGAAATGAGGCCAGCGCTGCAGCGGGAGCACGATTCGGAACGAGCGGGGCCCGAAAATGAGGCCGGCGCCTCAGCGAGAGCAGCATTTTGAAAAAAATGCAGGCGAAAACCCAACTCCGGGGAAACCTGTGTGTAAAAAAACAGTACGCGGGGGGGGGCGAGCACTTCAAACCGTCATCAGGGGAAGAGGGAGAGAGTATGCATATTGAGTAATTGTGGAGGGAGGGGAGGGAGGGGGGGGAGGGAGGGAGGGAGGGAGGGAGGGAGGGGGGGAGGGAGGGGGGGGGTTCTGTGGGGGGCCCAGGGGGGGTCCACGCCCTCGAGGTGTGGCGGCGACCCCTTCGGCCGTGACCCCCCTTGGGCACTGCTCCGAGCGGGGGTGAGATATTTTTCGGAGGGGGGCAGAACACAGGCACAAGGCCTCGTCGACGCCCAGGAGAATATGGGAACGTATGGGAAGGGGGGGAAGACGAAAACCCAGGACATACAGGAAGTATGGGGAGTCCTGTACACAGGCACGAGTCATCGTCGACGCCCAGGAGAATATGGGAACACATGGGAAGTGTGTGTGTGTGTGGGGGGGGGAAGACGAGAAACCAGAGCATATAGGAAAGTATGGGGAATCCTGTACACAGACACACAATTCATCGTCGCCCCCAGGAAAATGTGGGAACATATGGGAAGTGTGTGTGTGTGTGTGTGTGTGTGGGGGGGAAGACGAACACCCAGAACATCTAGGAAACTATGGGGATTCCTGTTAGTTGTGTGTATGTATGTGTGAGTATGTATGTATGTGTATGTGTATATATATATATATATGTATATATGTATATTTCTTTGTGCGTCCTTGGGCCCCTTTAAAGATTGCTGAGCCGATCCTGGCCAGGGTAGCCCCGAGACCGGGATCGGTTCGTACGTTTCTTCTTGCCTGGCCCGGGAGTCATACACTCAGCAGGGATGGTACAGTGGAGGCCCATGCCAAGAAACACCCAACCTGCCTCAGAGTGCCCTGGGTGGCTTCTTGGGTTTCGATGGACTTGTCATGGAGAGCGTGACGCTCTCGCTCCCACAGCAAAAACCGATGGGCGTGCTGAGGTTTCAGGGTTGGGTTTCTCGTGGAAGGTTTCTTGTGGCCAGGCCCCCACTGGAAGGATGGAAACGACTTTCCAGGGTTTCCCTTGCGCCCTTTCCCTACGGCCCATGCTTGGCCGCTTCCGTGGGCCGCGCCTCGCTCTCGTAGTGCTGGCACGGCCTTCCAGGGCCCTTGCGTCCCCCCTTCGTGCGCCCCTGCTGTCGGCTCGCACTGCGCCAGGCATCCGACGACACATCCTTCTCAAGGTGCTGCGGCGCCCCGGGTCTGGGAAAACGCTGCCCTGGGGACAGACAGACCTCTGCACCGCGCGTCCATTCTTCGTGGCCCCTGCGGCCCGGGAAAAAACGGGCCCCCGAGCCCGAGTGGTCGAGGAGCACTTGCTGGTTCGTCTCGTGCTCGGCGCTGTGGCGCGTGCCTCGGCGCGCCGCCAGGGGGGTCTGCGGGCCTGGCTCGGAGACCTCGCGTGCAGAGCCCCCTCGAGCCGACGCCAGCGACGGAATTTTGACTCTGCTCCTGCTGGTGCAGGGGCCTGCACTTCAGTCGGGCCTGTCCCTCTACAGGAGGAACATTCCAAGGTAGTGAGAAATCGTACGGGGACGATTTTTTTGTTTTGTGTTTGCTTTTTTGGGGTACTTCTTTGGATATCTTTAATTTTTCGCCCCAAATCCGCCTGTAGGAGGACATGCCCGACCTGAGCCCAGCTTTCGCCGCCCGGAGGCAGTCACCCGTGCCGACCGTGCTCACCATGGATGGCTCCTGCGTTGGCGAGGACCCCTGTCGGGGGAGCGTAAGGCCTGGGTTTGCCAGGACTCGGGTTCGCCATCGTTTTTTGACGACCGCGCCTCGGATTTTAACGAGGAGGAGTTTCGTGGGATGTCTGCAGCGGGAGGCCTCGTCAAAATGCAGGCTCGGCCTCGTCATTTTTTTGACGACCTCGTCGGGGATTTCCGAGTCCCCTGTACCCGGGTCTTACGCCCCCCTGAGAGGACCCCTGCAGAGGTCCGTCGTCGCCGTCGGCATTCGTCGTTGTCGGCCATCGTCGCCCTTCGCAAGCCGTCGTCGTCGTCGTCGGCTGTTGTCGTCGGCCGTGGCCTGCCGTCGCCGTCGTCGGCGTCGGCGTCGGCGTCGGCGTCGTCCTCCGTCGTCAGTCGTCGTCGTCTTCGTCGTCGTCGTCGTCGTCGTCGTCGTCGTCGTCGGCCGTTGTCGTCGTCGTCGTCGTCGTCGTCGTCGTCGTCGTCGTCGGCCGTCGTTGGCTGTCGTCGGCCGTGGTCGTCGTCGTCGTCGTCGCCGTCCGTCGTCATCGTCGTCATCGTCGTTGTTGTCGTCGCGTTTTTTTTCGTTTTCTTCGTTGTCGTCTGTCGTCGTTGTCGTCGTCGTCTGCTGTAGTCGTCATTGTTGTAGTCAGCATTCGTCGCCTCTCGTCGTCGTCCTTGGCGACGTCGTTGGCTGTTATCGTCCGTCGCGTCGTCGTCGACCTTCTTTGTCCTCGTCGTCGTCGTCGTCGTTCTCGTCGTCGTCGCTGTCATCGTCTTCGTCGCCAACCGTCGTCAGCCGTCACCGCCGTCGTCGTTGTTGCTGAAGTTGATGGCTGTCTTCGTTGTCGGCGGCGCTATCGTCGTCGCCGTCGTCTTCGTCCTCGGCCGTCGTCGTCGTCATCGTCGGCGTCGTCGTCGTTGTCTTCGTCGTCGTCATCGTTTTCGGTCGTCGTCGCCGTTGTCTTCGCCAGCTGTCGTCGACTTCGTCGCCGGCCATTGGCATCGTCCGTCGTCGTCGGCCGTCTTCGTCGTCGTCGTCGTCGTCGTCGGCCGTCGTCGTCGTCGTCGTCGTCGGTCGTCGTCGTCGTCGTCGTTGGAGGCTGTCGTCGCCGTCGTCGTCGTCGTCGTCATCGTCGTCGTCGTCGTTGTCGTCGTCGTTGTCTTTGTCGTCGCCCTTGTCGTCGTCGTCGTCGACCGGCGTTCTCGTCGCGGTCTTCGTCGGCCGGGGGTGAGTAGTTCTCTCCATGGGCCCTGGAAAACCGCCCCCACCCCCGGTCCCGGCCCCCTGGATCGCGGGTTCGGGAATGAGATAGGGACTGGGAGGTGGGGGTGGGTATTCGCCTTCCCATTCCACTCTTTCCACCCCTGGCCAGTTCTTCTAGATTTCTTCTAGCCCCGGCGACCTCATCCCAGCTGCTTCGCGCTCGTCGCAGCCCTTGCTGGTTTTTCCCGCCACGGCCGCTTCCACTTTGACGGAGCTCCCAGCTTCCACGTTTCCCAGCTCCCAGCCTCCCTGTGCACTTCCAGCGTCTTGACTACGTCGCCGCGCCGCTTGTTCCGACGCGCGGCCTGACGTCTTGGGGAGGGCGCTTCGGCCACCAGGGCAGGCGCTGCCTTGGACGTGGTGGGTTCGCCGTGAGTTTGCCGCGGTGACAGCGTCGTCTACTTGGTTGCGGGGCGCAGGGCTTGCCGTGGGTTTGACCTCGTGTCGGCGTCGCCCACTTGGGCGCGTCGAGGACACACGGCGCGACGATGTGCACAGACGGGCGATTTTTTCACGACGTCGGCTTCTGGGGGTGGTTGTCGGGTTCGAGGGGAGTGAAACACTCAGGAGGGGAAAAAACACACAGACACAATTAATTGTCGATACCCCAGAAAAAATATGGGAAAATATGGGAAGTGGGGGGGAAGACCCAAACCCAGAAAATATTGGAAAATATTGGGAATCCTGTTATTTGTGTGTATTGAATGTGTGTCCCAGGGCCTCTTCAAAGACGCTTCAGAAAGAAGCGACCAACTCCAGGAGAGGGGTCGAGCGGTCGCGGGGCCCGCGTGCGATGGAAACCATCACGACGACGAAGGTCTGGGTCTTGCCCTCGGCGGAGGCTGGCCGATGTCCCCCCTCGGAGGCCAGCGGAGCCAAATCGCGCACGGATCTGATCGAGAGGGTCGGCGGAGCGTCGGGGCGGAACTTCTGTGGGAGCACGTAAGAGGCTGACCCCCGAGAGAGTTCAAGGCAGCGTCTCCGGGACGAGCGGACCACACATACTTTTTGATTTGCGGCCCGCAAGGAGAAGTCCAGGGGCGATATGACCGAGGCTGGGGCACAGCGACAGATCATTGGCGCGAGAACGCGCGAAGTGCACCTGCAAACAAATTAGGAAGAGGGGCGGCCACAATTGGGCAACCATCGAGCACAGGCCAACCCGCAGGTGGGGCCGGACCGAAACCCAGCCGGAGGCACGCAGACCCACGCAAAAGCCGCTGGGCTGATGCCAGCAGAAGAGGGCGGCCACGGATGGGCAGACGACGGACCACACATACACATCGGTCGTTGAAAGTACGTCTTTTTGGACGTCCAGGTTCTATACTTTAAGCGCCTTCCTACTTCAATGATCGAGTGGCTTCACCTGTTCCGTCCTCATTAGGGGACGGACGGAACCCAATCTACTTTCAATGCTTTCTTACTTCATTTTTGAGAGAGCGCGTTTCACGGGCGCTTGCCTTGGGAACGTTCGGCGGCGGGCGCGTTTCGAACCGGGGGGTGGGCCCCCCCCCCCACATTCGGCGCCGTCGATCAGAGCCAGGAGGACTCCCTTTCCCCTAACCCCCGCCTCCCGAACCCCTCCCCCCCCCCCAGAGGGGGGGTCCAACCCCCCCCCCCCCCCTCGGCGCCCGCGCCGCCGGCGCCCGCGCTGGCGTCCGTCAGCAGCGCCGACGGCGGGGACGCAGCGACGATGACCAGAGAGGGCCCAGGAGGAGGGGGGGGGCGGGGGAGGTTCCAACCCCCCCCCCCCTGCGCCGGCGCCGGCGCCAGCGCTGGCGGCGGCCAGCAGCGCCGACGGCGGGGACGCAACGACAACCCACCACCGCCACCACACCACCACCACAAACCACCACACCACCACCACCAACCACCACCACCACCACCACCACCAACCACCACCACAATCACCACCACCACAAGTCCACCACCACACAACCACCACCGCCACCACCACCACCACCACAACCAACCACCACCACCACCACCACTACCACCACCTCCACCACGACAGACCATCACACCACCACCGCCACCACCACTATACCACCCTGACCCACCACCACCACAACCCACCACCACCACCAGAAACCACCACACCACCACCACCACCACCACCACCACCACCACCACCACCACCACCACACCACGACACCACAACACAACAACCACCACCACCAACACCACCACCACACCACCACCACCAACACCACCGCCGCCACAACCACCACCACCACCACCACCACCACTGCCACAACCACCACCACAGCCCACGAACACCACCACCACCACCGCCCGCCGCCGCAGGCGCCGGCGCCGGCCCAGAAAAGGAAGTCGTCGTCCCCGCCGCCGCCGCCAGCCGCCGCCGACACAGGCGCCGGCCCGAGGACAGGGAGAGAGGGGAAGTAGGGGAGGAGAGGGAGGGGAGGGGGAGGGGGGTTTCGACCCCCCCCCCCTCCGTCACGGGAAGAGGGGGCGAAGGGGGTGGTTCGAACACCCCCACCCCGTCCATCCACGGGGGGGGTCCAGTTTCACCCCCCCCTCCTTCCAAGCGACAGCAGAACGCGTTCTTTCTTATGTATATACTTGCGTCTTCCGACCGATGGGTAAGTGCATATTTCCCCCCAAAATGGTGCTGCATGAGAGGCCATTACTTGTGTTGCTAAGAGATGGGCCTGCTGTTCCGGTTGTTCGGCTGGTGGGCGCCCGGGCCTGCCCCGTGCCCGCTCCGTGCGCTTTGCAGGCGGCGCTGGACCTGCACTGGGTAGCTTTCAGTCGAGTATGCCCCTCTACCGGAGGAATATTCAAAATAGTCAAAACCATACTCGGATGACGGACGACTTTTGGAGTATTTGTTGAACATGGTGTAATTATTTTTGGACTATGTTTGAATTCTTCGTCCAAAATCCGCGTTTAAGAGGACGTGCCCGACCGGGTAGCTTGCACCGCATGTGGCCGCTCCGCAGAACCTGCAGCGCACATATTGCGCCCCACAGCTCGCACCAATCAGCTCGCACTACACGGTTTGCACCACACATATTTTGCCTCCTTGAATTGTACGACGTAGCGTAAGTTGCATCTCATGCTTGCACCACATAGCTTGCAGCGCATATACTGCTCTCCGTACCGTGCACCACCTAGATTTCACGAAACTTGTGCAGCAAACGCGTTGCACCACATAGCTTGCGCCTGTCCAGCAATTTTTTTTCAAAAGAAATATAGACTCCGCCCCCCCTCCCCGACCAGGGTTAACGGACCCCCTTTCTGGGGCATCGCAAGTTGCATACGGATCTGCTCCATCGTTGACGCTTCCATTTTGCACCAGTTTTGGAAACATCTAAACATTTGAACTGGTTCACGTGACTTACGCTATCTCGCCGACGCCCAGAAGGAGCAAAAGCCTGCCACCGTGGAGGTTATTGCGTAGCCTTCGGCCCGCCCGCCCGGGCTGGCTCAGAAACGTCTGAGATGCATATGGGATCTCTTGGGATGCCTGTCCGGGGCTTCTCGGGTGGCTCTTGTGGCCTTTGGGGGCGCCTTGCGGCCATCTTGGAGGCCTCTTGCAGCCTCTTGGGGGTGCCTCAGAGGCCTCCGGGGGGGCGCTTTGGCCCATCGGGGGGGGATGGCCCCGTACTGTCAGCTTGTATTCACCTTCTTCGGCTCCTCGTGAAGCTCTCTGAGTCTCTCCTGGGTCGTCTTGAGGGCCCCCTGGGGCCGTCTTGGGGTCCTCTTGGTCCGTCTTGGATCCCTCTGGGGGGTCTCATGGATTGTCTTGGGAAGATCTTGCGGACCCCTTTGGCCATCCTGGACGCCGTGAAGACGAAAAAGGCGAGTATGCTACACGTAATCCGTTTCACTGAGAGAATGGGGCGTTTTTTGTTTCTTGGCGCTCTCTCGGCGGTTTCTGGAAGCACACTCTTGGCCCGTCTTGGGGGCCTCGTGGACCGTCTCGGAGCCATCTTGTACAGTCGTGGCGCTATCCTGGGCCGTGTCTGCGCTCTCTTGGGCTATCTTGGCGCTCTGCTTGGGCCGTCCTGGGACTGCTGGGAGCCCCTGGAGGCGCGTTGACGAGCTCATAGACCCGGGGGGGGGAGGCTCAAACGGGATTTTGGACCCCAGGGGAGGGGGAACAGGGGGAGGGGGACCGCCAATCATCTCACACGCCTCTTCAGCCCCGGTGAGCGAAGGTCGGCAGCTGCCTCCCTGGAGGGCCGGGTATCCCCCCCCATCCCTGTCAAACAGTGCTATGCGAGCACGCTCGCTTACAGTCGGGGAGCTCAAGACGGAACTCTTTTCGTTGGGGCTCGGTGTTCCTTGATTTTTCTACAGCTTGCCTTAGGTTTTCATGAGGTTTTCCATGGGAGATCGAAGTGTAACTTATGGGATGAAGGGGCCTCGTTCCTTATTTAGGGTTCCTTAGGTCAACGCCCCGACTGTATCTTAGAGAATCGTTTTCCCAGAAGCCCTTGCAACAAGCAGTGGGCACAGTCCACACGTGCGCGCATGCCGAAACCATATCAACACACACACACACACACTAGCTCCCAAGCGTTTCAGCATAAAAGCATCCAACACCCTTAGGGTTTCCATGGAAATTCTGGAGATGGTCCGCCCGCGCGTACTTGCTGAAATCATCGACAAATCATATGAGTTGACCAATCTCGTCCAGAACCCGCATTCGCATCTCAGAACGAGGGTCATCCGCGTTGATCCGGCATGCGCCAAGTGCACGAACCCGTATCAAAGAGTACCATGCGGCTCGCGCGCGTCGAAATGCGCGTGTGTCGAAGTCCGTCCAACACCCGTGGTTTCCGACGCATTTCAAGATAGAGATTTTCAGGAGAAACAACCAACAAGAGAAACAACCAACAGTCTGCCAGGCTTTTTGCATGCTCGCATGCGCGCACTTCCTCACCATCATCACCATGAGCGCCGCCGCAGCACCGCCGTTCGCGCCATCGACGATCTCCGCCATTGCCGCCGATTTCATTGGTCAATCACCTCCGTCGCCGGCACATGGACATCACCATCGTCACTTCGTTACCTGTATCAGCAGCGCTGGGCCCCGGAAACGGCAGGGCCGTTTTTTCACCGTTTCCGAAAAAGTGTCCCTTGAAAATGGAAACGGCAACAACAAGGCGACCGGAAACGGCAACAAAAACGGCTCCAGGATTGGACCTGGAGCCGGAACCGGTCAAAAAACGGCGACGGAACCGGTAAAAAAACGGCGTCGGAACCGGCAACAAAAACGGCAAAACGGAACCGGTAAAAAAAAAACGGCCCTGCCGCTTCCAGGACCCACTAAGCAGCAGCGTCATTGGCCTTGCCGTCGTCTCATCACCGGTGCCGCCGTTGTCGACGTGAGCACGCTACCGCGCCCGCCCGAGTCACCGAGCCACACTGGAGTGCCCGCGCGCGGGGCGCTGCCTTCGAGACGCGCTCGGGGGCTCGCATTCGGCAAGCGCGGTCGCGGTCGCGTCGGCTGTGCCAAGCCAGCTGGCCGCTTTGCGCGCGCGAGTTTGCCCGCGTTACAGTCGGGGCGCTGAAGAGGGAACCCTTTTCGTTGGGGAGGGGCTCGGTGTTCCTTCATTGTTTTACGGTTCGCTTCGGGTTTGCCATGGGAAATCGGAGTTTCACTTGCGGGAATGAGGGGCCTCGTTCCCCATTCAGGGTTTCTTAGGTCAGCGCCCCGACTGTAGTGCAGCCGCAGAGATGCGCCAGCCAGTGCCGAGCACCCACCGCAAACGTGGCCGCGTGGGGTTGTGCAATAACAAGTCGCGGGTGGGATATTTGCGCGAGCAGTGGAGTTGGCAACCCCAAGTTCGGCAAGGCGGATTGAGGGGCGTAGATTGCACCACGCGTATTGCAGCACAAAGGGTGCGCCCCGTACGATGCACCACGCGTATTGCGCCTCTTACATTCTATACAGTAGATCTCACATCGATTGCAATAACCAGCCGTTTGGTGTCCATGCTGACAGATGTATACCTAGTGTTCCGCAATTGCGGATACGAGTGAGGGGGCGGGGGGGTTGGGGGCTGGGGCCAAGGCTGGTGCAAAATCAAGCCGCCGCAGTCGCCAATTTTGATTTTGAAAGCACAGTGTGGGCAGGCGCCGATTTGGTTGAGTCAATGTCGCGGGTGGGTCGCGGCTTGATTGGGCTGCGTTTTGGTCGCGACGCGGGTGAGTCGCATGTGGGTCGTGGGTGCGTTGCGGTTGGGGTGTAGGTCGGCCGCGGTTGGGTCGCAGGTGGGTCGCATGTTGGGTCGTGGGGCGACGGCGGCGATAGCAATGACAGCAATGGCAGTAATTTTCATAATATTCCGCACCGTGGAATCATACTTCAGCCGTGCACTCATGGACAATGTAAGACCGTCCTCGTTCCAATCCATTTTCAAACATATATACATATGTATGGGTATAATATATATATATATGTATATTCGTGTGCAGAATCCACACGCATACATACACATGCATGGATGTATGTATACGTATATGTACATGAATCTGTTTAGGTATATGTATATGTGTATGTATATGTAGATGTAGGTGTATATGTAGATGTAGATGTAGATGTAGATGTATATGTAGGCATGCATGCATGTATGTATGTATGTATGGTTGTATGTGTGTATGTATGTATGTATGTATGTATGTATGTATGTATGTATGTATGTATGTATGTATGTGTGTATGTACGTATGTGTGTTTGTTTGTGTGTTTGTTCGTATGTCTGCCTGCCTGCCTGCCTGCCTGCCTGTATGTATGTATGCATGCAGGCATGCATGTATGTATGCCTGTATGTATGTATGTATGTAGGTAGGTAGTTCGGTAGGTAGGTAGGTATGTACATGTTTAAGCACACACATGTGTGTTTGTGTGCTCGCTGAGTTTTCATCAGCAGAGGATTTTGACGAGGACATGCGGGAGTGCATCGCCGCCTACGAGGAAAGCTCGCTGCGCTGCGCCAGCCCCTCGGGCTCGCTGCAGATGAGGCCGCCCACGTCCTCCAGGCCAGGAATGGGGGAATGGTCCATTGCCACCAGGCCTCCACGGTTCTTTTTGTTTATATACATATATACATATATATATATATATATAGAGAGAGATTCCCCACCCCGATATATATATATATATATATATATATAGATAGATAGATAGATTCCCCACCCCGCACGTTGGGGTTGCCAGGCAACAGTTGCGAGCCTGTGGCCCCGGCTGCTCCGCACGTGGGCCGCGCGCCCGTGTGCATGCCTAACCCCTGCCCGAGTCGTACAGTGAACGGCTTGACTAAGGAACATGTGCTTTTCAAAAGGGCCTCGGTCGTTCCTTAGGCTTGCATGCGTTACTTACAGTTCCTTATGCGTCATTTGTTATGTATCGTTCCTCATGCGTTATTCCTTGGTATAAAAAAGGGGCTTCGTTCCTTATTTATTGTTCCTTAGGTCAGGCCGATGACTGTAGCGTAGCTAGCGTCTGAGTCACAGCGTATCCCATGTCGGGTCTTTCGCCCCCCCCCCGGCAGTTTGAGGTGGCGACTGCCGCGCAAGCCCAAATGCCCAACCCATGTTAGATTTTTTTTTTTGTCGCCGCCCCCGGCACTGCTGGACAGGTGGCCGAAACCGGCGCGGCGTTGAGTGAAGTGAGAATGAGTAGGGGCTACTTGTCCTCTGGGCCCGAAGAGACGCATCGAACTCCTTAGGGAAATGGTGAACTGCTCAGGGCGGACGTTACTGTCGCCCTCGGAGCTCAACAATTACTTCGAGTGCGAAATTACATTGGGCAGGCCAGGCGGGACGAAGTGCCTCCTACTGGCACAGTTATGCTACATGGGGTGTGTAGTTCACAAGAGTAAACTTGTGCAATCATTTGCTTCTTCTGTGAACGTGTTTATAAGGCGTGTTGGAGCCAATGTGGCCTATGCTTCACAAGAGAGCACCTTGTGAAATGTTGCCCCCCTAGCTCGCCTTCGACGGACTCGCGCCCCTCAACTACGGTCCCAGACATCCGACGACGTGTATGTTCATGCCTTGTCAGGGGGTCCCGCCCCCTTCCCTGGGGGTAGTGTCTTCGCCCCAGATCCATCTTTGTAACGTAAGCCCAGGGCCCAGTGGCGGATCCCACCGGACTTTGTTTGTGCGGTGGTTGATGCGTTCGTTTTGTTCCCAACCATCTTGTGGTGTTGCGTCCTCGTTTTGAAGAGAGCGCCCCGCGTTCCTCCTCTTCCCCCTCCTGATCCCCCTCCTCCCTCCTTCCATCCGCCTCGTCACCTCCCCCCACCTAGGACAGCGCTTCGTGGCCCCATAGTGGGCTCCACCGAAGGCCCCAGCGGCAGGGTCCGCATGCGTCCCCCCGCCCGTTTCGGCACACCCCTCACGAGGATCGTGGACCGAAGGCCCCAGCGGCAGGGTCCGCATGCGTCCTCCCGCCGACTTCGGCACACCCCTTATGAGGATCGTGGCTCCATAGGGAGCTCAACGCTCAACCGAAGGCCCCAGCGGCAGGGTCCACATGCGTCCCCCGCCCATTTCGGCACACCCCTCACGAGGATCGTGGTCCCATAGGGAGCTCCACCGAAGGCCCCAGCGGCAGGGTTCGCATGCGTCCCCCCGTTCATTTCGGCGGCCCCATAGGGAGCTCCACCGAAGGCCCCAACGGCAGGGTCCGCATGCGTCCCCCCGCTCATTTAGGCACACCCCTCACGTGGCCCCCTAAGGAACTCCACCGAAGGCCCCAGCGGCAGGGTCCACATGCGTCCTCCCGCTCATTTCGGCACACCCCTCACGAGGATCGTG